TATATATATATATATATATTGATACTGAAAAAATAATTATTGTAATAGTAAAATATTTGTATTCACTGAAAATGTAAATTGCGAGATAAAAGCTTTTAAGGTTGGCAACTGACTCGCATACCAGTTGCCAACTTATAAAGAAGATTCAGTACAAAAGGTCGACTTTGTTTATCCTCCACAATATATGAATGACATTGTGCCAACGAGGACAATCTGTGATGTTAGATTGCAGCTGAAATCTGATTTTTAGTGCCTATAGTGATTTGGGAGTATCATAGAAGAACACTTGGCGAAAAATGGAAAGCTTCTTCAAGGGCCTAGCAAAAAATTGGTTAAATTATCTATAAAAATGGAGCTTGCTTCTCACTGTAGTCACAGTATAGTAAAAATAAATTTTTGTCCAGGTAGATTTAGAAACATGTCAAATGTTTCTATTATAAAACATAGCAAATCTGACTGATATATCCTGTATATAGCACTTCTGAATGGCACAGGAAAGCAAAAAGGATTTTCCTAACCGTAATGTAGACATAAAACTGTTTACAGGTGTAGAGTCTTAGGGACTGCAAACAAATGCTTACTGAGTGAAAAACAATAACCAGTATGTCACAAGTGACAGATGTACTACTGTTTACAGCAAAATCAGTAGTAGTTCAAGCTCAACACTTGAATGGGGGAGCCCATCTTGATTTCTCAATCCTGCCATGGCTACCTGGGAGGTCCTCAAAGTATCGGCTTGGAGTTTGGGGTCTGGCCCCATTACTCAAGATGAGCAGCATGCTTGCTACTAAACCTATCACAAGCAATATCCGACCCCTCTTGTAGGATGTTGCTGGTCCCCCCACTGCCAATGATGTGGTTGCACAGCAACTGGAGATGCAGTACTCCAGAAAAAAAAAAAGAGAAAGAATGTGTAGATGTCTGCTGAGCTGCATTTGGACCAATAGATGGTGATGGGGACCAATATTGAGTTGCGAGAATTCCTTACATATAAATTATCTTTATATAATTTCCATTTTAAACATGATAAGGAAAAGGAGGGATGGAAACAGACATTCCAACAGAAACATGGCACATAAACTACTAAAAGTATGCCTACTGTATATATTATGCTGAATCTTAATATTTAGGTAAAAGTACAGCTATGTGTGCCTCCCCACAGGATGGCACCCTGTAGAATCACACAAGCTATATGTAGCTAAGCAATTAATAGCCACAGCTACGATTAAAGGAGAACTATGAGGTGAGTGCTTTTCACTCACCTCATAGTTCTAGCCGACCTGTGACAATGAGACTGTCACAGGTCGGCTCAGTAGATCGGGAAGTGAGCAAACACATACCTGCGTTCGCTCACTTCTTGATCCTGTCACAGCTCTCTGCCATGACAGGGGCGGGACTGGATTCCCCCCTCCCCGCTCCGATCCTCCAGGGCTGACTGGGGGAACGGACGGGGAGGGGGCGGGTACAGCTGGCTCTGCCTCTAGATAGGCAGAGCCAGTTGTCACTCACGCAGCTGGGCGGATCCAGACATAATTGTCGTGATCTGCTTTAGCTGCGGCGTCTCAGTATACCGCAAGCTGTAGCTCGCGGTATACTGAGCTTAGGGTGATGGGAGGGCGCTAGTTTGTGTCCTCCCGTTACCCTAAGGAGCACTATGGGGAAAAGCCCTAACCCCATAGTTCTCCTTTAAGGCCCAGTTTGGGGGCTGAAACATGAAAGCATTTGTTTGCGGCTTTTGTGCCTTTTTGCAAATAAAGTATTGAATGGACGGATCCCCTTGCGAGTGTTGGTTTTTTGCCTATTGTTTAGTGAAGGCTAGGGCGGAAGCTTCACCAGGCACCAAGGTTCAAGCAGCGGGATTGGAGACAAGAGGGTAGATCTGCTCCATGTTTCCTAATTACTCATACTGTATGACTAACTTTATATTGAAGTATTATGACCAAATCCAGTTAATTTAATCAAAACATACTTTGATTTTTTAAAAGTTGATTAAGAATCATGAAAAGTGTGTGTTCTTTTTTGTATTTTTTTGATTTGAGTTAGTATACATTTGCCTGGATAATACACAAGGTAAACGATGATCTATATGCATAAAGTTTTACTTTCTTACTGAAAAGACTCATCTTACATTCTTCCGGGTGGTTTATTGAAGATGCACATCTTTATCTGTGTATATTTACTGCAGAAATTATAGAAAAAGAAATGTTTAGTCTGAAGCTGTTAATATTCTTGCTTAGCTGTAGATAGCAAAATGTTGCTTGATGACTAAGATCAAGATATGTCAAAGCTAAAACACCAGCTTCCTATTGTTCTATAATTTATTGCACGAGTTCTATTTTTGTGTATATTTTGCAAACATGCCTGTAGTAAGCAGGAAAGAATATAAATTCAGATTATCTCACATGGGTCTTTTTTGTCGATGTGGTACATATTACATATTTTCTTTTTATGTTTATTATGGACAGGATTAAGGAACAATACAAAAATATGGCTTTAAAAGGATTTCAGAAGTTCTAGCCTTCCTTCGCTCCTTCCAAAAAAGTTTTAGATCTGTATTTTTGTTTTAGATAATAGATCCTTCGTTTCGTTTCGGTCACCTGATGGTGTCGGGGGAATTTAACTTTTGCATGGACCCATCCATGGACACATCCACAGGCCATGCACGTAACCCTAAATCACACCTTAATACTGTACGCAGAATGCTACATGGTCTTCACCTGGTTGATGTAAGAGAGAGTACTTCACCCCAGTGAGAGGGACTACTCCCACTACTCCTCTGTCCATAATTCCTACTCGCGGTTAGACATGCTCTTCTTAGACCACTTCCTTCTAGAAGCGGTACAAGCCGCGACTATACTCCCTCTCACTTTATCGGACCATGCTTAGGTATCTGTATTACTTACCTTAGCGAATGCCCCAACTAGAAGCTACAATTGGAGGCTTAATGAATCCCTCCTCCACGACCCAATGGTTGTTGCAACTGTGGCTGCCAATATAGATACCTACTTCAGGGAAAACGCCCAGGAATCTGTTTCCCCTGCAGTCCTCTGGGAAGTCCACAAGTCAGTGACACGGGGTACGCTGATTGCCATAGGCTCCAGGAAGAAGAGGGATCGGGTTGCGCAGCTACAACTGTTACTGTCCGAAATACATTCTCTAGAAATATCTCATAAAATTACTGCTGACAGCTCTACATATCAAACACTTACCCTCAAACGAGAACGACTTAGAGAGCTGCTGGAATCGGACACTAAACGTGCCTTTGATGCGCGGAATAAGAAATTCTATGTTCAGGGTAATAAACCTGGTAGACTTTTAGCACACGCTCTGCGACCACATCGCTTTGCCACTTACTGTATATCCCCAAAATCAAGACCACTATGGGCTCTATGGCCCACCTTACCACTGATATAGCCAAAGTTTTCCATGACTTTTAGCAAGACTTGTACCAGGTCAACACCACATCACAGTCTCACCCACGTCCGGATCTTTCTGATAAAATCACTGCTTACTTACGAAAGGCGGGCTTACCTGCGTTGCCAACTGCTACCTTACTTGCCTTAGAATCCCCCATCACTACAGCTGAATTAGAATGAGCGATCCAATCCACGCCTTTAGGCAAAAGCCCTGGCCCAGACGGATGCCCTCTCTTGTACGTCAAGCGTTTTCAGGCTCACTTAGTCCCCCATTTTTGTAGTTATGTTAATTCCATCGACGCCACCTCCCCACTCCGTCCAGAATCGTTACTTGCCCACATCACTATCCTTCCCAAGCCGGGTAAAGACCCAGCTTGCTACTCTAGCTACCGCCCCATATGACTGATGAATGTGGACACTAAGTTGTACGCCAAGATCCTGGCTTCCCGACTTAGCTCACTTCTGCCCGAATGGATTCATCCGGATCAGGTGGGCTTTGTCCCGGGGAGGGAGGCCAGGGACAGTGCCCTTAAATCTGTGTCCCTTATTCACCTAGCTCATACACAGAATTCCCCAGTCCTACACTTGGCTACAGATGCCGAAAAAGCATTTGACAGAGTGGACTGGGGATTCATGTTCTCCACGCTGACCTCCCTGGGCATTGGTCCCCGGATGTTGGCGTGGATAACCGCACTGTACTCCTCTCCAACCGCCAGAGTCAAAGTGAACGGCATGTTGTCCCCCCCCCTTTTCGTTACTCCAACCATGGAGTACAAAATTGCAGCATATGCGGATGACATCCTTTTTTACGTTCATGACCCCCGTATCTCACTCCCGCATATAGTGTCTGAATTGCGTACTTATGGGGAACTATCCAATTTCAAGATCAACATGGGCAAGTCGGAGATTTTGAACATAACGGTGAGGGGAGCAGACTGCCTTAGCATACGTCCTCATTTTCCCTTTCTCTGGAGACATGACTGCATGCGCTCCCTCAGTATCTACCTTACTCCTAAGACGTCAAATCTCTACACTCACAACTATATCCCCTTACTTAATTCAGTAAAACTTGACCTCAATTCATACTCTACCCGAACCATGTCCTGGCTGGGTAGGATAAACACCCTCAAAATGATGATTCTCCCTAAGATCTTATTCTACTTCCAAATGCTACCTATCTCCCTCCCCACAACGTACTTCACCACATTACGATCCCTACTATCCAAATTTATTTGGCAACGCAGGAAACCTAGGATAGCCTATTCCATTCTCTCTAGACACAAACGGGCTGGGGGCTTCAACGTACCTGACTTTAAACATTATCACAAAGCAGCTCAATTAGTTAGGCTCCTAGACTGGACGTTCAATGCCTCCCATAAAGGATGGGTGACATTAGAAGTAGACTTGAGTAATACCCACCTCTCAGAATGTATCTGGACTCCACCATATACACGGACACTGTCCCCTCTGACTTCCCCCCTCACTCTCGCCACACTTACAACATGGGATCGCTTACATAAAGCTCATGACTGGCCATACAATTCAGTTTTATTACCACTAACGGGCACGGATTTCTTCCCTCCCGGAAATAATGACCCCCTCTTTTCGACATGGACGGACTCTGACTGCTTGCTCCTAGAACACGTCCTCCAAGGGACCTCACTCTGCCCTCTCCAGGCTCTGAGGGACAAGTGGGGCATCCATTCGATGGACTTCTGGAGATACAGACACCTACAACATTTTGTTATGTCTCTCCCAAAGCCACTACGAGTGAGAGGTAACTTCTTGCCCTTTGAATCATTATTGGGGTCACCGACTCCCACAAGCCATGGTCTCTCTGTCATATACAAGATTTTGTCGGGAATTACTGGTGACCAGGCCCCGCCATACCTTGGGAAATGGGAACAGGAATTTCGAACACCCTTATCCCCCTCTCAAAGGTCCAAGGTGCTGCATATGTGCTCCTCTGCCTCCCCGGATAGCTACATGACGGAAGTCAACTTCAAACTTCTCGCGAGGTGGTATCAGGTACCTACCATCACCCATGCCATCAACCGGGCAAACTCCCCGATGTGTTGGAGATCATGCGGAGCTCAAGGCATGTATGCTCACTTATGGTGGGATTGCCCACACATACAACAGTTCTGGGGAGACGTCACCCGTCTCATTTCCACCATTAGCGGTATACCTACACACTTGGACCCCTGGCTGTGCCTCTTCCATCTCAACCCCCTTTCAATGCGCTCATATAAGAGATCGGTAATTCCCTTTATGCTCAATGCAGCGAAAGCTCTTATCCCCACACACTGGCGCTCAAACCAAACACCCACGGTGGCAGAGTGGTTGACACGGGTGGATCATTTGCGTCTGATGGAAGAACTCCATCACTCTAGTAAGGACACATATAGCACTTTTTACACGACCTGGGCAAGATGGCTGCACTTTAAAACTCAGGATGAATATATCTCAATGCTATCCGCGTGATATGGTCTGCTTTAAAACCTGTTATTTTATTTTATTTTTCCTATTAGTAACTCTGTAAAACTGGCTATTGTCTCTTACCCTAACACACTACGCTTCCGGTAAAATGATTGTCAAGTTCCATTGAGAGGTTCCATCACTGTATTGTTATGCACTGTTTGGCCACATGCCCGAATGCGCATATTGCGCCACGCTTACTCAAAGGCACCCCGACCAGGGGACCAACTCCCCCCCCCCCCGTACCCCTACGTCTCCTGTCCCCCCCCCCCTTTACCTTGGATATCGTATGTAGTGTGATTGTCTTAATGTATGCTCACTGTATTGTATGTATGTCTTTTGTTATATTCTGAAAACCTTCAATAAACATTTTAATAAAAAAAAAAGATAATAGATCCTACATCCACAGCTTTTAGCTTTATTTACTCTAGCCAATAATTAGGCAGTGGCCTGACTAGGCCAAGTGACCCTGATCTCTATGATAGCATTCTTATACAATTCCAGAGTATTATTATAAAGGACTTTGGATATGTAGTGCAATGAATGTATACCATTATATATTGCATCTATAGGCTTAGCTACTCATATGTTTAATGGTGTCCCTAGGTTTATCCAGGACAAAAATCCCTTTTTGCTCAATATTAAAATGTCCCTTGCTCTCCAGTTAGAGATATTATGTTACTAATGTAATAAAGGGAAATAGTTTGTTCCCTTGATTCCCAATGCATGCATGATGGCTGGGGCCCCTCTATTCTCACAAACACTCATCACCTGCCCTGCTGCTTGCTTAAGTTAGTAAGAAAGATTTGAGCTGCTGTGAAACCTGTTCCTATATCACTCGTGGGAAATGCAAAGTTGTGATTTCAAGTGTAAAACGTTTACCATGTGTTCAGTTTTTTTTTTTTTAAATAAGCTTAAGCAAATTAGTATGTTTCTTTCTATTAAATGTTTGTGGAAGAAAGAAATCTTTCTGTATTTTATGCTCCTAAAATTTTATGATATAATGGTTCTCATTGTTCTGTTCAAGATTCAGATAAGCAAGTGCACACATTGGATGTTGAAGAAAAAAAGAATCAAGAATTAGAAAAGGCCATTGACGACATTGGAAATCAGTTTAAAAACACAACCTTAAAATTCCAATCTGATATAAACAAATTACAAGGTAAGCACTTTATTACTATTACTCTATATTGCTATGTATTACTATAATCCTATAGTTACAGAGTTAGGTATTTTTTCTCTTTAGGGCTACTGATATTCTTAGCATCTCACTAAACTTGGACTTGAGTCTTTGCTGAAGTGCGAGAGTGGGACATTTAATATACAGTCTATCTGGCAGGGTCTCCACTTTGTTGGGCCTTGCATAATGTAAGTGGGACCTCCAAATGAGATCACTTTTATCTCTAAGTACTGTTACTCACTGGGTTCTTAAACAATTCTTTTTTGGATAACTTTTCTGAACTATATTGTAGAACTTTTTGTAATTGGTGATATACCAAAATACATCCTATATACTGATGCAGACAAACAGCAAGCTGGTAGCAGTTCTGCAAAAAACAAAGGTTCCTGTATTTTCTCTGTACCAACATTATGAGCGCAGAATCCCCCCCAGTGCAGTTTCCAATATATGCTCCACCTCTATTGGCCAAATCTCTTTCTTTTCTTCTTCTGCAGGAAAAAATAGTTTAGGCCCTCAAACACTAAAGTGTATGTATAGTAATATTTTTTTCAGTTTTGGATAGAGCAGGGAAGGGTTGAAAACTCCTTCAGTTTACTTTTTGTTGCCTGTGTCTTGTTGGGGTGATTTCCCTTCACTTCTTGCCTTGGAGATGCAACAGGCAGTAAAACAATTAGGGCTAGTTCACACCAGCTACAGTGCATTCCATCCCGATTCTGGCCAGAACACACTAGATCGTATCGCGGCAGGCTCACTTTGTTGTGTGGTGAGAGGGGGCGTTTAGGTGCATTGGCCTCAATGGCACCGTAACCACGCCCTCCGGCTGCAATGTAATTGGCCGCACGGGAACGCAAGGCGCATCAATGCCTGTGGTCTGGCCCAGTCAGAAAAAAATGCTGCATGCGATCCAGTGCATTCTGGCCAGAAACTTTCTGCACCTCTGACACAACATTCTGAATCAAAAGAGTCTTATGTCTGCACATGATTATTATATAATAAGTGCAAATTGAATTTATAAAGCCAGATTTAAAACTTTACACGTCCAGTGCAATATTATTTGTATTTTTACAGCATCTAATAACTTCCCAAGTCATGACATATATAGTAACTATACAAATACGATTATTACACCAATTGCTGTATGCTTCTTAATACAGGGAATACAGATCCCTAGGGAAATTACAGATGTACTGAATGATTTATACATTTTTAGCATACTATAATGGGTTTGTACAAAGGCTGATATTTACTGGGGAATTAATTTGATATCACTTTCCTGGAGTAAACTGCTTTGTATTGTTAGCAATAGAAATAATAAATGTAAAATACAAGTTTAACCTTAGTTCTTTTATGTATCTTTATCCACTGTAATCCCCCAAGTGATCTCCATCAAACTGTTCCGTGCAATAGAAAAGATAAATGTTTTTGTGCATATGTCTAACCAACTATTTCATTATCCTTCAACAGCCTAGAACATTACTGGGTGTAGATGAGTTTGTTTCCATAATTATCCAATAACTTCTGCTTGATTGACTATACTTAAATGGAAACAGTGTTGGGTCAGTTTAATTTTAAATTAAAGAGTGTCAAGTTTTAAAGTTTTAAACTGTTTTAGATCTACTTCAGAAAGAACCAGTTTTCCAGGCATCCGATCCCAGAATCGCTCTAGAAAAAAGCTAACGGGCTGCAGCCTAACAGCCATTATAAGAAAGTACAATGAACCACATGTTTCGAAATCCTTCGTGTGGGCA